TTTCCTTATTGTCATTTGTTAAGTAGAGAGTGAGGAAGTGAAAGTATTAATTTGACTCTTTAAATTTCTAGCTTGAATAGTACTTGTCTTAACTATTTTCTTAAGCTCTTTATTTTTCAAAATTTGCCTCTTAATTGCTTTATATAATTCTTCTAATATATCTAAAAGTTCCTCTTTAGTAAATCTAGAACCAAAAAGGATAGCATCTTGGCTTACCTCATCTCCCTCCTCTTCTTTCACTATTAGGAACACGTTGGCTTGTTCATCATCTGAGATTCTCCTCCATTAGAGCTCATATCATCCTATGTAGCCCTCAATGCCTCTCTTCTTCCTTCCTTCAAACATTTTTCTTAGTTCAGAGTATTCTGATCTATTGTGCCATTCCTTCTTGCATTTAAAGTAAATAGGTTCTTCGGGAGCTTTTTTTTCTTTTTTTTGTAGTGCCTATTTTGCTCTTTAGGCTGTTTTTGGTTGCAATGCAAATAAATTTGCACTGATGCAAAACTATGGCAGTGCAAATGGCTTGAGTGTAATTTCTAACCTATTTTTATTCCAAATTTTAGCTTTTTTTTGTTTAATTGCAATAAAAATGAAATAAATTAAGACATGAAGTAGAATAAGTTGAAATCAAAAACAAAATTAAATGTGAATTTGCATTTTCTTCATTTGCACTCCCATGCATTTATACTAGTGCAAAAAAAATTGCATTACAACCAAACACAACCTTAGGAATTTCAGGAGTCTTCTTCCCCATCGAGCCACCCCTGTCTTGTGTAGCTCTTGCCTCTTCTTGTGCTTACCAAAAAAGAAGAGCCTTAGGGTTGGTGCAACCTATACTACCATGTTCTACAACTTATGTCTTAATAAATTCGATTCTACCAAGGTAGTTCTCTTCTAACAACAATAGTCCTTTCCCTATTTGCTCACTTCAATGGTAGATATCTGTGTGTGTGTGTTGTGTTTCTCTCTTATACAAATAGCCCTTTCTATTACTTCAGCTTTCCTCTTCTATAATTGAAGGTGATTCTTTTGATTCACCAAGGCAGCATCAAACCATCCTAGCTAATTGCAGGAGTTCACTTATTCACCTTCCCTCTTGCTTAGTTAGATATGTCCCTACATATGCAAATAACGCTTCTCATTTTGTTGCTAAGAATGCATTTTTCATTGCATCAACAATGGATGAGACCGATTTTGCCAAAACACTACTCAGAAAAGTTTATGATTTGAGTTGAATGCATTTTCTACAAGATTTTCTCAAAAAAAGAAGGGAAAATCATAGGGAGGTACCCTAAACTTTGGAGGTAGTGACAATTAAGGGCCTCACCATTTATTTGCAACAATGCAATTCCTTGTACTTCCAAAAATCAACACTCAAGTCCAACCGTTAGCATTTCATTAGTTATTTGGAGCACGTGATGTCATGTGTACCTTGAAACATTTAAAAATCTCAAAACTACCCTTTGCATATTTCATGAGATTGTGAATCAACCATATCCATTTCTATTATTTTGCAATTTTATTATCTCAGCTACTCAAATAGTGAAAGGGCATTTTGGTAAATTTAACATTCATCAGAACCTCCATTATGGATTATGGATTTGGACTTTGAGTGTTGATTTTTGAAATTCCAGGGTACCTTAATTTGTTGCAAGTGAAATCCCTTAATTAGTGTCATCACCCCTAAAGTGTAGGGTGTAAAAAACAAAAAACTTGAGATATGAGATAGGCTCTAGATAAGGTCAGCCCAATATGAACCAGTCAAACGTGACCATGTATCATAGGTGATGCAGTTCACTTCATAAGTTATGAATGATGTTGAACTTTGCTTGAACCTAACACCTACTAGATTTGTGTTTTTCTTTGTTTGAGTTGTTTAGTGGTTAGAAGTGATGTATAGATAGTTTTAGACCTCTAGTTGTGGGTAGTTGTAACTGTTCTGTGGTTGGTAGAAGTGGGGGTCACCATGTGTAGGTGATGATGTTCTAACGTCTTGGGTTGTTATACTTGAGTCAGCTAGAAATTGTTTGCATTTAAACTAGTTAGCAATGAAAGAATAAATATCTTGGTTCAACCAAGGGATTTGCCAAAGTTATGGGAAGAACTTTGATCCCTTTTGTTTGTTCTATTTGTTCAAAAATCCAAGTTGATAGAATTCGAAAAATGTCTTTTTTTTTATTTTATTTTGTGTAACCTAGAACACCAAAACAGAAATAAAAAAAAATTGAAAAAAAAAGAAATTCGTGTAATCAAGTGCATGGTATTCAAAACCTGGCCGGACCAGACGGTTGGACTGAACCGGTTCCGTTTTATTCCAGAACTGTTATTTTTCCAAAAACCATTGATTTGGTCAGCAAACTGCTGACCCGGGTGGTCAAACCGTTGGTACTGTCCAATGATTTTGGTGGTTTTTATTTTTTTAATTTTTAAATTTTTTTGTCAGAACATATCGTCCGTTTAATTTGAATGGTTGGACCATTCAACCCAGAAACCGAACCCCTGACCGATTCGTTATCTGATTCAATTTTAAAAACCTTGATCAAGTGTAAGCAAATCATCAATTTTACCACAAAGCAAGACCTCAACGCTCAAGCCTTGTTTCTTTAAGATGCCCTAACTTATTGTTTTCCTGGTATATTGAGGGCTTGCTCCTTCAGACAAGTGGCATTTATTTTTCTTAAGTGGGTTATTGTTTAAAAATAAATTTAACTTGATTTAATCTTGAATAACAGATCTATGTATCAAAAATGTCAAATTAAAAAAAAAAAGAAAACACTAAATTTACAATGTCAAACAAAATTTATCAGAATACTGGCCCCGTAACAGGTGGTCATTTTCTAGTTACCTAACTATCAAAAGAAGGGGGAAATGGATGCTTCTGAAAATCTGGAGATGATAAAGAAGTATGAAAATCGATCTAATAATAAAACATACTGCCTTCAGATAAGAGATTCTCCATTACAATCTCTGAATTGCATGTAAATGTCAACGCCTCCAGCTGGAACAACATTTCATGACTTCCCCAGTTGATTGCATATTCCAATTATTATGTCCACAAACTTTGTACTGGACCTACTGCTCGTTTGATAGTTGAGATTTCGATGTGGAATCCAACCTGTTAAGCATAAGTTCCAGTGGAGTCAGAAACTTACAGTATTTGCTCTCCATGGGATGAAACTTCGACCTTCTCTCTCCATTGAAACTTCTTGATTAGAGTCAGAAACTCTTTCAGCCCCTCCTCTTAGATCACCTTTCTGAGTACTTGGTTGGGTGTAATCTTGTTTCCATCTTTCAGAACTCAGCATCAGTTCTGTTAATTAGCCAGTGACTCTCACCGAAGCTGCGCTAATCACCCTTTTCTAATTAAATTGATCTCGAACTGTATGGTTGCCTCAATCTTCTACTGAAGTGCTGGTTCTACGTTCTACAGGATCTCAGATTCTTAAATGAAACCCATCAGAATCGATTGTACTTGACAGTATAACAGATACAGAACTTAAATGAATGTTGTAAAGGAGAAAGAACCAAAGAAAAAGAAAACAAAGGAGGTGTCAATACGGATCGTCCCATGAATTGGTTTTGCGCTATCTTATTCCCGCCTGCTTGCCAACGGGACAACTTCGGCCAACGGAGTTGAGAGCGGAGTAGGAATCGGCGATGTTCGACAGACGGGACATGTAGGACGCAGGCGTAGCCATGGGTCGACGCAGTTGAGATGAAAGAGGTGGCCGCAACCGGGTAGCAGCCGAAGCACGTCGGTGTTCTTGTAGTCGGCCAAGCAGATGGAACAGCAGGAGGCAGTAGAATCGTTGCTGCGAAGCTTGGCTTGGGAGTAGAGGAGCTTGGGGTAGCTCAGGAGGGTGGCCGCGTCGACCCCTTCTTCGATGGTGACGGTGTGTTGGCCGGAGCGTTGGGCCGAGCGTCGCTGAGGTTGGTCGGAGGAGGGCATCTGATCATTGTGGGTGCAGAAGTAGGAGGCAAGGGTGATGGTGGTGATGGCTAGGAGGATACCAACAGAAATCCCGATGCCATAGCCGAACGCACCGATGTTTTTGGCGCCTAGGAGGCCATTGTTAGGGGAAGGGTCTGTGCTGTTCATCTCTTAATTGGTGGAATTCAAATTAATAAGGACGGGTGCAGAAGTTCTCAATGGTGAGAGTGGGATCGGAATAAAGAATTTTGCTCTGCCATGGCCAAGTCGAGGGTGATGTTTGGGTGGTCAAAGTTTTGTTATGTCGATTTTGAGAAAGAGAGTGGGAGACGGAGTGAGAGAGAGGCGGTGGAAGGGGAGAGAGAAAGACAGACTGATGAGGGTTGGTTTTGTTTGGGTGTCTGAATTCTGAAAGGTTTAGTCCAAACTTCCCTTGTTTTTATCAGGAGGCTTTGAAGTCAACATCTTTCTTTCTCTCCGAGAGAGTTGGTGTTGTTTTCGTGTCTCAAAGGTTTTGTGCCAAATTTTCTTTATTTTTATTTTTTTATTGAAGAGGCTTTCCTAGTCAACATCTCTCTCTATGGACCACCATGATCACGTACTAACCGCACCAAGGGCTAACGATGTGCTCTCTAGTTCCATGTGATTTTTTTTGTTTTTTTTTGCAGTGTTTGTAGTGGATTAGTGCATCGTGACATTTTGTTGTTGTAATTTTTATTGCTTTTTATACTTTGTAGGCCTTGGGAGCAAGGTTCAAAGAATCTGAAATGCCAATGTATCGAATAAGCAATTTTGAGAAACGTCTTGGATACACAATGGAGAAAAATTAAGATATGCATAGATATACTTGAAAACACTATAAATATTTTAATATAACACAAAAATACACCAATAACATTAAATATAAGACCTCAATGAAGTATATATACATTAAGTTAATATATTTTAATGGTTTTATGAAGAAATATATTATAGTTAATTATAATTTTATTAAAAATCTTATGCTTAACTATAATTTATACATTATAATTTTTAAGTTTTAATGTTTTATGGGATGGGAAAAACCCAACTCTCCTATCCAACCATAAAACATGCATTGGCACAACTTCTAAGTGAAAATATAATCAATAATTATTTATTATTTATTTCCACAAATTTTAGAAAATAAATAAAAAATTATATAATATATTCAAAAAATAGTTATTAAAGAAGAAATTTCAATTGATTTGTGGATATGATAGATAATCTAATATATTCAATCATTGTGATCAAATGAAAAAAATATATAATTAATTATTTATTTATTTTTTAATTCTAAAAATAAAAAATAATTATTACATAAGAAATTTTAATTGGTCTGTGGATATGATAGATCATCCATAGAATTATAATATATTCAATTGTTGTGATTAAATGATAAAATATAATTAATTATTATTTATTTTTTAATTTTAAAAATATAAAAAATCAAAAAAAAAATACTAAAGAAGAAATTTGAATTGCTCTATGGATATGATAGATGAATCCATAGATCTAAAATCATATTTAGTCTTTATAGGCAGAGAAAATTTATATTTTCAAATTTTTTATTTATTTGTATTTTCCCCAAATATCTTCATGAAATTTCCATAAATTTATTAATAATACAAAAACAATTATGATTTTGAATGTAAGAAATGTAGATCAACATAAATGTAAACACTCAAGAAAAAAAGAAATCACAAGATATTATAAAAATTTGAAAAAACTTACCCATTTTTGCCATATTTTTTCAAAATTTGAAAAAATTTCAAAAAAAAAATAACGATTCACACTTGTTTCTTACAAATTTTTGTAGACCTATCACTCTAGGAATGAGGTTTGGAGTTTTAGAGTCATTTGGGGGTGAAAGAAGGCTTATTTCAGGGAAAAAAACCTTGCTTTCCCCCTTTATTTTTTTTTTAATTTTTGGTTGTACATTTTTCGTCAATATGCTATCAATACGCCCCAATACGCCCCCAATATGCCTCCGATATGGGTCCAATACACATGAAAAAAAAGATGATACATCTAATTTTCATGCATATCCTGTATCTATTTTTCAAAATACGATACAAGATGGGGTATATGCCCCGTATCGAGTGTATCATATCAAAAATTTTAAAACTTGCTTGAGAGTTTGGGGCCATTGTTTGAAAAGTAATGAAAGTTTTTGTTTTGAACCAAGCTCTTGTGGCTATAAATCTTGCATGCCTAGTTGTTTTCTTGGTTTCTTTATTGTTGTGATCGAATGATAACCGAGGTTTCTTGTTTGAGACTATCACAACTGCACGTGGTCAAAGACTGAATAGGCCTGACCAAGCAAACTTGCTGAAGTGGCCCATCTAGGGCTTTTGCAAGTTAATCAAGGTTGATGGCCAAGATGGCCTAATTCTTTAATGCCACTGTGTTGGTTTGCAAAGTTGATTTGTACGAGGTCCTTGCTCTTCGAGCAATTCAATTCCTTAGTTGAACCTTTTAATTAGCCCTTCTACGTGAGTTAGGTTTATACTAACTTTCATTAAGACTTAGAGGAAGATATTTGGAATGAAAGCCAACTTTCATTAAGACTTAGACCGGAAGGTACAAATAATATTCCAATACTACTCAATCTTCTGAGGTGAGTTCAACTTTATTCAAATTGACACTTCTTACTTCATTCTTTCAAGATGCCATCTCTGATGCTTGTGGTTGGCTGGTTGTTGGGCTTGGATGCTCATCTCTTAGTTTTGTCTTTCTTGTGTCATTTATAGGAGATGTGATAACTGAAGTGTCTTTGTTAAATAATCGGAGACCCCACCAATTGAGGCACCATCAGTTACATTGGGCATCCAATTTGAAGAACTTACACTGCATCAGGCCTAGGCTTCTGGGCTGAGCCCATTCTAATTTTAACAAAATCCCAACCAAACCTTCAGTTTGGAGCTCAAAAGATTTGCATATTCCTTATCCACCTACTATTCTAGGAAAAAAAATCAGTCCTAAAACCCTATACTTTAATTAGGCCAACCTTTATAGTTATAAATAATGGATAGGTATTATCAAGAGCAAAACTACAATATTCATAGCATGGTTTTTGAACCGCAGTTGATTCAGACAGTCGGACCATTTTACTCCAAATCCTGTCCCTAGTTAAAAATTGTTGAATTGGTCAATAATTCATTGACTCAGACAGTCGAACTATCGACCTGTCGACCTATTCAACGATTTTTTTGCCATTTTCTATTTTTAATTTTTATTGTCGGAACGATCCATTCATTCGAACCGGACAATCAAACCATCGACCCAAAAGCCAGTGGCCAGAACTATTCTGTTTCTAGGTCGTTTTTTAAAACCATGATTTATAGGGTTATGAGAGATATGGACTGTGGGATTAAATGTGATGTTATAAGTCTCAAAATCATAGTTTCCTAATAGATATCCTTTAACAATTAATTAACCAAGTCAAATTTGTTTCCTAACTAAAATTAGTAAGAAACTCAACACAAAGACTTTCAGGATATTAAATTGCTATGGTTCTGATTCTTCTAATAGATACTACAAATCAAACCCAATTTAATCTCCTAAACCAAATAAAAATTGCAACTTAAATATAGAAGGCTTTATATATAAATACCATTAGAAAACCTATTTGTTTATGTTTTAAGAAAAAGGGAAGAATCACGGAATTATTGAATCAACATCGGTGCAATATTATCCTACTTATTTCTTGATCATCTATCTAAATCAAAGTAATCAGTATTATAATATATAATGCTGCTCCCTCATCATCTTTTGTCAATGAGAAGGACTTGTGGGTGTCTATTAATTTTCTAATAGCTACCCCCCACCTGATTGATTTATCTTATTGGGTTAGGCTGAGGGTTGATGACTTGATACAACTCTTGATTAGGATAGTCTGCTTGCTTTGTTATCACTAAGTCTTCTTAAATTAATTTATTTTGTTAGCATTCATTAATTAATTATAAATGCAATTCATTCTGAGTAGATTATAAAGGTTACTCGTTACCAAACAACCTATCAAACAGATGATTTATTTGGAAATTTGATTAGGGCTAAAAACACAGTTGAGTTAGACAATAAGTCAGTAACCTGGTCGGTTGAATCATTTGATCAGTTAAAGGGTTTTATTTTTTTGCACTTCCAGGTCACAGATTAGATATTGATTCTCTTTTTTCTGTTTTTTATATTTTTTATTTTTTTCATCGTTAATAAAAATAAAAATAACTTTTATCTATTACAATTAATTTTATTTAATATAATGAATCTACAATATTGTAAATATATTTAATTTTTGTACTATTTTTAAGTTCAACTATCATGCATTCACTAATATTGACTGAATGTTAAATCTATATCTCAATCAGTCACATTAAAATTTGTTTACTTTTCACCGGTTTACATTTTACAAAGTGTACTTTCATGTATAACAAGGTGTACCAGCAGGGTTGGGGGATTCAGGAAGGGGATGGACTATCCCCCATTGTGTAGCCACATGAAGCAAAATAAAATATAAAAATTATACTTACCAATAGATTTAACCAATCACATCCTTTCGTGCACAGTGCAGTAGTTGCACCATAGATCCATTTAATTATGATATCAACAATTGGCCTATTTGATTTGGACAGTTGAACCGTTGATCTACCGCCTAGACAAAGAAATTGTTCCATTTCGAGGTCGGATTTAGAAACACTGGCTTGACAATAGTTTGGGTCTAAGTTAGGGTTTATATTTAGGCTTGGACCTTAACTTAACGAATCCATCTAATTTGACGCCCTACCTATAACACACACACACAGATTTAAGAGTGATCTTATTGAGAGAGAGTAAATATGAGCTTTATGAGAAAAAATAAAGACCCATGATAGTTCTTATATTGACTTGTTATATTTTTAATAATTTAATTTAAAATAATTAATCACATATGTGAGAAATGAGAGGAAGAGGAGATCTAGTGTGAGGTTAGAGATAAGATGACACTTAGCCTCCCTTCTTTCCTCTTTCTAATATAGATATGGAAAGTCAATGTTTGTAACATTACTGCTATCCTTATAAATCCCTTATTTCCTATTAAACATCTTTGAAACTCTTTCGACCCTCCTCAATAAAACATGGGTATAAGTTAGATAGGTTGGGTAGGGTTAAATGCCAACCCTATAGATGCAAGTCGGGCAGGCTAGGCCAAACTTATGATCAACCCAAGCCCAACCCTAAGACTTGTGTCAAATGCCCAAGCCCAAACCGAGCCCAAGATCAAGTCCGGTCTGCTCAACCCAAGCCTAGCCCATTGTAATTTAATACACTCAGGTTGAGCTCAGCCCCGGGACAGACTTGGGTTGGTCAATGAACCTACTCTAAAA